TTTAGCAACCCATGCTTGCCGTAAAAGGTGACTATGCTTGTCGTAAGAGGCGACTAACGGGATCGGGTGGTCAGGCTTGCTGACTGGGTTGATGCATGTCATCGTATCCCAATTGCGTGGATCGATGCTCATGCGGTCAATCACTGGATTGTCTGGCCAAGATTTGATTATTCACAGACCGTCGTCATATAGCTGGAATATTGCTGATTGCGGCATTAAACAACAAACAAACAAACATTGCCAAAACATGTATCAGTGAAAAATGGATTTATCAAATGGAATCGGTCACTTCATATGATAATGCTGCAGCTACTCAAGCCAGAAGCAAGTCTATAAGACAAGGGTTGTAGCGGAGGTTGTGTTATGTTCAGGGAAAAGATCTCAGTGTGCACTAGTGTGGTAAATCAAGCTTAACTCTAAACTGTGACCTCGAGATCAGTCACATGTAAACTGAACTGAAGGAGAAATTGTGTGTGTTTGATTTGTATATGTAAACCATGCAGGTTTGAAAACATGTTTTTATTTATTCTCCATATGGTTTGAGATAAGCGATTTATAACAAATTTGTATGAAACTTTTGTGTAATAATGGTTTCGCTCTCAACAGCAATGTTGACGAAATGCAAATACCACTGTTGATGGATTACAGATGGCATTGTTGATGTCGTGTTGACTGTTAGCTTCTTGACAGAGTTCCCAATGTAGAAGGCACTTCATCACTGCTTAATGTCAAGTGGTAATCAAAATATCATTCTTGTATCTGCATGTTACAATGTTTATGAAAAGTGTCAGAATTCATGTAATTAAAGAATATTAATCCTTTTGTAAGATCAGTAAACGTACACTCACAGAGAAAACAGTCTCTGTTTATTGTGTCAATAAACATTTTTATCCACATCTGAAAAATATGTAGTTCATAGCCAAATATTACTCCTGATCCAAATCTGAGCAGACATCTTTGAGCAGGACTTTGGACCACGCAGACTTCTGACTTCTCATATGGGTATATTTTGTTGTTGTGTACATATAGGGTTAATGCTGACGCTGCAGGCAATAGGGTTAAAGTATGTTTCGGAAATGGGTATATTTTGTTGTATACAAAGGGTTAATGCTGTGGATGGAGGCGATAGGGTTAAAGTATATCCTGGGATATATGGGTATATTTTGTTGTTGTTTACAAAGGGTTAATGCTGAGGATGCAGGCAATAGGGTTAAAGTATATTCTGGGGTGTGGGTATATTTTGTTGTTATATACAAAGCGTTAATGCTGAGGATGCAGGCAATAGGGTTAAAGTATATTCTGGGGTATGGGTATATTTTGTTGTTGTGTACAGAGGGTTAATGCTGAGGATGCAGGCAATAGGGTTAAAGTATATTCTGGTGTATGGGTATATTTTGTTGTTGTGTACATAGGGTTAATGCTGAAGATGCAGGCAATAGGGTTAAAGTTAATGTTTGCAAGGGGCAGTTGCAGATGACTTTCAGGAACCCTGTATGTCCTCAAGATGGTTGCTGGGATAATGGATGTACAATGATGTTATTGATGGGCCAGATTGATGCAGTACATGTACAGATAAGCCAGATCCACCTGCCAGTGGTGGTTCCTTGGACCAGGGGAGGGGGTAAGAAAGGGGATGTGGAATCTGGGATATTGAGGAAAATTCCTGAGGGCTACATTTGCAGGATCGGTGTTTCAGTCATGATTGATACTGGAGATCCTTTCATGTCTCCTCCCTTCCTTACATTAAGTTTGTGTTACTATGGCAACAAAAATTGTTTGATTTACAGATTTGTTTTCCAAATATATAAGTCCAAAGTAAAAAAACAACAATAAATTTTCTTTAAGTAATGTTATAAATGTAGATTAATATTTTTTTGTGATCCTGCTTCTGTTATTTACCTACTTTGATTTTTTTTCATTATTGAAATTATAGCGTACAAACTGTATTATTTCTATATTTGTGAATTTTTGATTGGCTTTTCCTTATAAAGTAATGAAAATAATGACACGTAATGGTCACATGATCTTGTAACAGAATATTAACATTTGTTGAAGTTACCTGGTAAACACTTGCACTGACTGTAAGTGGTCAGGCTCGCTGACTTGGTTGATGCATGTCATCATATCCCAGTTGTGTAGATCGATGCTCATGATGTCAGTCACTGGATTGTCTGTCCCAACGTCGATTATTTCAGATTCTGGCGTTAAACAACAAAGAAACAAGGTAATTGGAGAAGATTGTTTCTGATTGTGATTGTGTCTGATCAACATTCCCAGCATGCTTCTCCACCAAATCATCATCAAAATTGTGAAACAGTTTTAGTGAAGACTTTCTCCATGTTCTTCTTCATGCATAAATATTGTACATGTATATGTGGATTCTTTTGAAGAAGTGAGTGAGTGAGTATAGTTTTACGCCGCTTTTAGCAATATTCCAGCAATATCACGGTGGGGGACACCAGAAATGGGCTTCACACATTGTACCAGTGTTCGAAATACCTGCCTGCCCGACCGTCCGAGACGGGTTGATTTCAACTCGGGCTGCCAGATTTGCAAATCCCCCTGCCCGACGGTCGGGTTATATTTCATATGTGACAATATTCTAAATATTTCCAGATGATAATCATTAATTCACATGTAAAGATGAATGATAAAATGTAACCAAAAAGAAATCCCGTTAGCTTATCCTGAGAAACATATGATTATAGTGGGCAGGCAGGTTTTGGTCAGGCCTGGCAAGTATTTCAGCTAGCCAGTCCTGTGGTCTGGCTGAAATTTTTGGGAGTTTCATACCCTGATTGTACCCATGTCGGGAATCAAACCCGGGTCATCAGCGTGACGAGCGAACGCTTTAACCACTAGGCTACCCGACCGCCCCTTTTGAAGAAGTGAAGTACTTCAGATTTGTAGGCTAGTGGACCCTGGGACCTGTTAGTTAGTATGTAGCTCCAGAATGATCATTACTCTCATACTTTATCATAGATGATATTGGCAGTGAGAATTACTGTGGAAGGAGGCCAGATGGCGTAGCTGCAGGGATGACCTTGAGGTGGCCTGCACTCAGCAATATTCCAGCTTTATGACGGCGGTCTGTAAATAATCGAGTCCGGACCAGACAATCCAGTGAGTGATATCATGAGCATCGATCCACCCTATTGGGATCAATAACATGCATCAACCAAGTCAGCAAGCCTGACCACCCGATCCCGTTAGTCGCCTCTTATGACAAGCATAGTCGCCTTTTACGGCAAGCATGGGTTGCTGAAGACCTATTATACCCCTGGTCTTCATGGGTCTGGCCTGCATGTGTATTGGGATGTCCAGCATATCAAGCATATCTCTCCCAGATGATGGTCAAGAGGCCCTACTTCATGTTGAGGAGAACACTTGGGGAACTTGTCCAAGACTGACCGCTACTTCCGTACGGGAGAGGTCGAGCTGTCACCAGTCCAAGATGAAGGAGTACTGTTATTGAAACCTTTTCTGCATTTGAAAAGCCGACCTCAATTTTTCATTTTCTTTTTGTGATTTTGATTTCATTTCATGTATAGATCATGGCATGAAGTTACTTCCTATTTGTCACTGGAGGCTTTTAATGTTTTCAGAATTTTAAGATTTTTTTGTTTGTTTTTTGTGTGTGTGTGTGTCTGTGTATGATGTAAAATAACTGTTTATATTTCAGAGCATTTAGTAAATTGTGGTCAACATGTCATTCTTTTACTCGCTCCACTCTCCCATAGAGATGTATTCTTTGATGTGGTCATTAGCTTGTAGCAGCACTGCTAAAGATGGTGAATATTGCCCATTTGGACAACTGGTCAGTTAGTTTATCACTGGGAGGTCAGTTGTATCCTGTATTTTGAGATCTCACTTTATGATCACTATTTTGTACAAATCGTTGTTCATCCTGTGATATGCATCTGTAGAAGTAGTAGAATATGTCACTTGAATGATTGCATCGTGTTATGCTGGTATCAGACTCATGAAAATCAGGGTTAGAATTGATAAACCCATGCTTGCTGAAAGGTGGACTTTGCTTGTCGTAACAGAATACTAGTAGGATTGGGGGTCAGACTCGCTGACTTGGCTGATGCATGTCATTGTATCCCAATTGTATAGATTGATGCTCATGACGTCAGTCATTGGATTGTCTGGTCCAGACTCGATTATTTACAGACCGCTGTCATATCACTGGAGTATTGCTGAGTGCGGTGTTAAACAACTATCATGATATAACATTTATACTATGTTTTCCTGTAACAATTAGATCCACATCAAGTGCTTTTATGAGTTATCATGGTGTAATTTGAGTTATCATGGTGTAATCATGATAACTCATAAAAGCACTTGATGTGGATCTAATTGTTATTGGAAAACTTAGTATAAATGTTATATCATGATACAACAAACAAACAAAGAGATATTATCACTTTTTAGTTGGTTTGATTGTTGGTTTGTTGTTCAACGCCGCACTAAGCAATATTCCAGGTATATGATGGCGGTCTGTAAAAAATCGAGTCTGGACCAGACAATCCAGTGATAAGTGATTAATAAACACATGATTATGATACATTTTTTGATAGGCATTTCTTAAAGTTGACGGATGACAGAGTAGACACAATTGATGGATACCAGCTTCTTTATTTACTGTAAAGGCGACGTTTTGGTGTAGATCCTTGTACTGTTGTCAAGCAAGGGTGAATAATGAACATGGTACAGAATATATACAGTAGGTGGAGGATTAACAGTAACAATTGCATACATGAGAGGGATAACTTGAGTAGGTTAAGTAATGACAACAGAAGGATAATACTGTAACAACATGATGGGCAGAGAACACATGATGAGGAAGCCAATTAGACAGGATAAGTATCCATTGGTGGGGTGATTATTGCTTTATGATTATGATGTAGTTGGAATCGCACAATGGACTAAAGATTATGGAAATGGTTAAGCTTTTATTTACATGATTTTTAATATATATTTTTGTATTTTTTCAGAAGGAAGATGAGTAATGGCGGTGCCAGGGCGGAAGCTTGAACGACAGGTCAGTGAAAGTTCCGTCGACAGTTTAAAAACTCTAAATGAAGACCTTCGTACCCACCTGGCCAAACTGCGTAGCCAACTGGACCTGCAGAAGGGCAATGTCAAGCAGGTCCACTGGCAGAAGGTGCTGGACATCCGGATGGTGCGAGAACAGGAACAGCAGAAACACATGGCCACCATAGCTGACCTACAGACCAAGCTACTGACTGAAAAGTCACGTGAACTTGAAAATCAACGCGAACAGCTTCAGCAGAAACATGAACATGACTTTCAGAAATTCACAAGGATGAAGGACACCGAGATCACCAAGTTGAGGCATGAACTGGAACAGAAGGAAGCACTTCTGCATCGGTACATCAACGAGACGAGGAGAGAATCTCTTCGCTTGTCTCAAGATGGCCGGAAATCGAAATTGTTGAATGAATTGAGTGATTTACGGAGTACCAAGAAGCAGCTTGAGGACTCGCTGACCTCGGCTAGTGAAGCAGAGAGACAATATTGTCGGGAGTTGCGCAAAACAGCAGAGCATTACCAGTCGGAAGTCGTGAGAGTCAAGCGTGAGGCGTACATAGAGATACGGCACCTGGTAAGTAGGATTCTCAGACATATGTATTATTATAGTTGTGCTCATTGATGATGATGATGACGATGACGATGATGTGGATGATGATGATGATGTGCCACTTATTAAGCTCCAACTCAACACCAGAGGGGCAAGTTCTATGCATATGACACTGTCCTGGTCAACAGATCAATGTGCATTCCCAAATTGTATACTCAGCTCCCTGCGGAGTATACAACCCAAGATGCCTGTTATGCTTTCTCGCTAGTGCATGTAAATCACCCATTGATGTATTCCGTAAATCAGACCAAGGGATAGCATCCATTTGTCCCTATTCAACAATTGAAAATAGAAGATAATCAATCGCTCCTCATGTCATGATTAAGTGACGTTGGTCGTGGAGAGAGTTGGATGGGTGACCGTGTTTGGTAGCTTGACTCCTCAAGTTTCTATGGCTTCGGTCGTGTCCCACATTGGAGCACATGCGGCAAGTGACTGCTCAAATATTCCTTTGACTATATCGCAATACAAATGTCCATTTATTTTCCCCTCCTGAGAAGTGGAACGGGGATATAGGAATGGGCGCTGTCTGTCTGTCCTTCCATCTGTCACATTTCGTGTCTGGAGTAGAACTCGAAAACCATGAGATATCTTAACTAAACTTAACCAGACTTGGCACATAGATTGTTCTTGTGGTGAACGGATGCCTTTTGATAGTTCAGGATTTAATTTTTTTTTTTTTTTGAGTTTCCATGGCAACGACTTTGACTTGGCGGAAGTAATACTTTCCAGAGCAGATCTAGAAAACTGTACAATATTTCTTCACCAAACTTGGTACATAGATAGGTCTAGTGATGAACTGGTGCCTTGGCAGGAATATGAGTATTTCATGCTTGTTATTATTGTTGTTGTTGTTGTTGTTTATTAAGTAATGAAGTTAAGGAGGCGACATTGCTTTTTTGGGGCTTTTCTCTTTGTTCTATGCTATATTGAAATACATAGTTTGTGTGCGAGCCATTAGATATGGTAAGTTGATTAGAGTATGCATCAAAAGTTTTCAGATAAATATATTGTAGATGTTTTAGGCCATTGCTAATAACCTTAGGTAGTAAGTAGATTGAGAAAATTCAATTTGCAGTGATGTTCTTCCACTGCATGGCATCAGTCAGCTCGGAGATAATTTTCTCATGAAGGATAAGACGATTAACTTCTCACCGTTAAGTTCATATAATGTTCATCAAACGGTTGGTTTAATAAACCCAAAGGGTATTACTTCTAACTCTTCTACAATTTCTTTGTGGCTAATAATCATCTTCAGGGAGCTAATAAATTTTATCTATATTCCCTCTTTAGTTGAAGGGAGTGGTCCAAATTGGAGTTTCTAGTTTCTCAGGGACGGATGGGTGATAAGGGTACAGGAATGATGGTGATGAACTATTGAAGATTTATGATAGATGTGTGAGTGATCAGGTCAAGACCAGACTGCAGTGGTTGATAGTGTCTGTGGTGAAGTGGACCGCCTCCGTGGTGTAGTGGTAGAGCGTCCACCCGGAGAGATGAAGGTCCGGGGTTCGATCCCCGGCCGCGTCATACAAAAAGACGTTAAAAGATTGTACTTGTTGTTACCCTGTCTGGCGCTCGGCATTAAGGGGCTAAAACAAGGACAAGAGGTTTTGCTTCAGGAAATTATTGTTAATTCAGTCTTGACATTTTTTTTTATATCTTCATGTTTAGGGGCTAATTGATGAAAAGAATTACTTAAATTGGTGTGTCCTTGAAGTCCATTAAAAATCATTGAAGAGATGTGAATACTCAGAGCAATAACCACACCTGGAATTAATTCACTCTAAGGTGTTACAACCATATGACATCGATCTTCACAATGTCTAATCAGTAAGATAAATTATGACCATCCTACTTCCTCCACAAAGTTGGCAGCAGGGGAAGACCACTTCCTCCACAAAGTAGGCAGCAGAGGAAGACCACTTCCTCCACAAAGTTGGCAGCAGAGGAAGACCACTTCCTCCACAAAGTTGGCAGCAGGGGAAGACCACTTCCTCCACAAAGTAGGCAGCAGAGGAAGACTACTTCCTCCACAAAGTTGGCAGCAGGGGAAGACCACTTCCTCCACAAAGTAGGCAGCAGAGGAAGACCACTTCCTCCACAAAGTTGGCAGCAGGGGAAGACCACTTCCTCCACAAAGTAGGCAGCAGAGGAAGACCACTTCCTCCACAAAGTTGGCAGCAGAGGAAGACCACTTCCTCCACAAAGTAGGCAGCAGAGGAAGACCACTTCCTCCACAAAGTTGGCAGCAGAGGAAGACCACTTCCTCCACAAAGTAGGCAGCAGAGGAAGACCACTTCCTCCACAAAGTTGGCAGCAGAGGAAGACCACTTCCTCCACAAAGTTGGCAGCAGGGGAAGACCACTTCCTCCACAAAGTAGGCAGCAGAGGAAGACCACTTCCTCCAGAAACTCCCACCATTCACTGAAGGTGTGCACCAAGGGAATCCCAGAGTATGAAATCAGCATGCTGCCTGTGGTATCTCCCACATCAATCACGGCATGGGCCTTGCCTCCGGAAACTGTACATCTCTACATCTTCATCTCTGACAGATCTATGTCACCCTTGACAGATCTACCTCAACTCGGACAGATCTCAATGCATCTACATCTTAGAACACTACATTAATTGCACTCGTATACTTTTGGAGATGGCCTTTGGTGCTGGTGTTGAGACCCCAACAGGTGGTTAGTTAAGGTTGAAGATGGATGGGAAACGTGTGTGATTCTTCATCATCTGTGTGCAGCCTCTTATTATATGGAGATGATCTGTTTACCATTCGTTCACATCTCTGGCAAATATTGATGTTTGGTTTCTAATGTTTTTTTATATTACAAGGCAGACAGGCACTGTTTGACGTGTGTGATGATGGTCATTATTATTATTATTATTATTATCATTATCATTATTATTATCATCATCATTATTATTATTAATTTTGACATGGATGTTGTTTTTGTCAGAAGTCTAAATAAATCTTAAGCATGTGTTCCATTAGTTAGGGCATCAATAGAGAAAACAAATTCATCTGATGTCATTGAAAATTATCTGTTTACCAAGGTATGTATGTCATAAAAGGCACTGCTAATTCTTTGAGTGCTATTTCTGGGAAAAGATTTATGGAAATACAGTCTGTGAGTGAACAACAGGGAGGTTGCAGTGTATTAAGAATCGACGTCAATATTTGTTGCATTTATCAAGGAATGAACATAAACAAACATGTGCACACTCTGTAAATCCATGTCAGTTCCTTTTAATAAACAAGTCAACAATAACTTCAGCCTGCTTATTTAATCATTACCACAATAAAAACTGTAGACCGAAATGCGAAATCACTGACATCATTGACACAAAAATACAACACAAACCAAACCCATTCTGTTATCAGCCAGTCAGGAACTAGTAGTCTGTAAGCATGCGTGGCTTACCTTTTTTTTGGTTTATGGAAACAAACACAAAAAAGATTGCTTGCTCATCCAATCAAAAAGCCATGGAATCACTTGCAGTTGATTTATTTTAATCTTTTAACACGTAATATTTCTGTCACATGGTAGAGGATGTTGTGTCTATATCTGATAGGTTGAAACCCTGCTAATGTGGGTCGTGGATTGAGGATAGAAGGGATGACATGAAGATTAATGTATGTCCGGATGTTTTAATTTGATCTTCATTACTTGAAAACCGTGAAAGATTTTTCATCCAAACTTGGTACATTTATTAACCAGTGGCTCAAGTGGGGCCTTTTACTTTTATGGGGGCCCGGGAGATTTGTCATCTTTTGATGACTCTTTATAGGAATTAAGAGCAATAAAGAAAAGGGTTATTGTACTTCCTGTGTTGACCTATGAGAAGGTTATGTGTCATTACATTGGTTGTTAAACAGCCCTGACGGGGAAATACCCATTCTGGAAAAAATATAATTACATCACAGTTGTGAAATTTAGATCAGCCGTTTACACTTGAGCATGTTGAGAATTGGATTTTATCAAAAAAATTACAAACGTTATCAACACTTTACAAGCTCGACATATGTCTCAGAAACACTGCATACTTAAGGTCTAACATACAGCTGTGATACCAGTATCAAATACAGCACCTTCAGGTAACACACAGCTGTGATACCAGTATCAAATACAGCACCTTCAGGTAACACACAGCTGTGATACCAGTATCAAATACAGCACCATCAGGTAACACACAGCTGTGATACCAGTATCAAATACAGCACCTTCAGGTAACACACAGCTGTGATACCAGTATCATATACAGCACCTTCAGGTAACACACAGCTGTGATGCCAGTATCAAATACAGCACCATCAGGTAACACACAGCTGTGATACCAGTATAAAATACAGCACCATCAGGTAACACACAGCTGTGATACCAGTATCAAATACAGCACAATCAGGTAACACACAGCAGTGATACCAGTATCAAATACAGCACCATCAGGTAACCACTTCTTGTTTGTTTCAGTTTCCGCCATCATCGAACATGGGTGTAGTGCTGTACACTTTCGTTAGCCTGGCAGTTTAATAAAACTTGACGCTGAAACCATGTACTATACTAAATATTCATTATTTGTTTTCCCAAGTGTCAAAAAATACATATCATCATCTGCTGGGCTAAACAAAGTTGTGTCGACTGTCAGGTTAATCCAAAGTTTGAACATCACCTTTGTGTCTCTCAGATGACAAAGGTGATGCATCTGGAAGGTACTGCGTAAACACCCTGTAGAGTAAACGCTGTAGAGTAAACGCTGGTTAACCACTTCAGTGTGTGACTTGTTACTTGCCAGCTAAGCTAGCATCATAGATAAATGTCGCCACGAAAGTTTCTAACATATCACCATGATAAGATTCAGGGGGCATTTTGTAAAGGCATTGGTAGCATTTTGTACAAATTCAACTTACTTTCCCAGGGTTGGCAATAGAAGCAGGCAAGCAGTAAATGGCATAT